GATGCATGAACGTGCGCACACACACACACACACACACACACATACATAAACACACACACACACACACACACACACACACACACACACACACACACACACACACACACACACACACACACACACACACACACACACACACACACACACACACTCACACAAGCAAACAGGGCACACAAGATACACTAACCAACAAACACACGAACCCAGTAACGTGTACACATAACAGTTGTCGAAGAAATATGGCCCATGAAATGTCACATTTTACTTAGTGTCTATTGTAGCATTTTTTATCATTATTTGACACATTGCTACGGACATATAAAAAAGAAAAGCACTCATGAAAGAGAAAATAAAACATTTACCAAAGCTAAGTCATAACTTTAACTGTTATAAAAAATCGGTAAACCATTTATCTCTCTTTTTCATTTGTTTTTTCTTTTTCTTTTCTTTTCTTTTTTGAAGAGAGTAACCGAGCTTGTTTTTTTTTTCTTTTTTTAAGAGGGTAGCCGAGGTGGGGGGTCTATTTTTTTTTCTTTTGCTTTTTGCTTTTTGTTAAGAGGGCAGCCGAAATGGGGGGGAGTGGCGTTCTTTCTTACTTTTCACCTCCTTTATTTTTTTTTTAAGAGAGTAGCCGAAATGGGCGGAGGGGGGGGGGGGGGTCTTTCTTCTTTTTACCCCTTTTTTATTTTTATTTTTATTTTATTTTTATTTTTTTTTTATTTTTTTGCTTTTTGTTAAGAGGGCAGCCGATGTGAGCTGTTTGCGAGGTGGGGGGGTCTTTCTTTCTTTTTACCCTTTTCTTTGTTTTTATTTTTGTTTTTTTGTTTTTGCTTTTTGTTAAGAGGGCAGCCGATGTGAGCTGCTTTGCGAGGTGAACCCCCTTTTCACGGTAACTTCTTCCCCTGATCCGGCCGAGAGTCTCACAACGCAAGGGATAAATTGGTCAATTCTTTAAAAGTTTCACAATCTGTTAACTTTCTCATTCGACGTTTTGGTCCGGAAAAATTGAGTTTTTGTTGTTGTTGTTGTTGTTTGGTGAAGTAGGAAAAATAATTTCACAGAGGATGAAAAAGATTACTTTGTAAATAAAAGAAAAATGAAAAAAAATCCAAAGAAATAGGATATATATATTTATATGTGTATGTGTGTTTGTGTTTATGTGTGATGTTTATGTGATATATATATATATATATATATATATATATATATATATATATATATATATATATATATATATATATATATACACATAGAGAGAGAGAGAGAGATGAATATATATCGCACATACACACACACATACATAAAAAAATAATAATAATAAACACACACACACACACACACACACACACACACACACACACACACACACACACACACACACACATATATATATATATATATATATATATATATATATATATATATATATATGTATGTATGTGTGTGTGTGTGTGTGTGTGTGCGTGTGTGTGGGTGTGTGTGTGCGTGTGTGTGTGTTTATACCTGCGAGTATTAAAAAAAAATGGAATTGCTGCTTTTATACTGCCTCTTAAAATATCAGAAGCCCTCCCCCCCCCCCCCCCATCTCCCCCCAATGCCTTCCCGTCGTCAACATCACATCCCGTTTTCATCAATCATTCTTATCTCTTTCTGCGCATCTTTCCATCCTGTTATTTTCGAATTACTCTACCCATTTGCCTCTCCCTCTCTCTCTCTTCTTTCTCTCTCTCTCTTTTCCCTCTCTTCCTCTCTCTCTCTTTTCCCTTCTTCCTCTCTCTCTCTCTCTCTCTCTCTATCTCTCTCTCTCTCTCTCTCTATCTCTCTCTCTCTCTCTCTCTCTCTCTCTCTCTCTCTCTCCTCTCTCTCTCTCTCTCTCTCTTCCTCTCTCTCTCCTCTCTCTCTCTCTCTCTCTCTCTCTCTCTCTCTCTCTCTCTCTCTCTCTCTCTCTCTCTCTCTCTCTCGTTCACTGACTTCCTCCCTCCATCCAACCATCGCCCCCACGTTCCTTCCACCCTCTTCCCACCCCTGTTCCACCTACACGCCCATCCTCCCTCTCATCCCCTACCCACTCACCTTCCCACCCACCCACAATCCACCCACGGTCTCATCTCACCTCCCACCCATTTCCGACCAACCCACCCTCCCTCTCACCACCCTTCCCCCCCCACCCACTCACCCACCCCCCCTTTTCCCTCCCTCCCACATACCTACCCACCCATCTACCCCCCCCCCACCCCCCTTTCCATCCCTCCCACATACCTACCCACCCATCTACCCATGCAAGCCCTCCCTCCCAACCCTCTCTCAAAAAACACCAAACCTAAACTCACTCTCTCTTTTTCTCCATTTTTTTCCCCCAGGCTGTTGTTTTCCACGTGTCTAAGGGACCTTTCCTCGAAGAATTCCTGCAGTGTGTCACCTACGGCTTCTACACAGCGGTGTGGCAGGAACAGCTGTACACGACCTTCAGTCTCGTGTGCATGTTCATTCTGCCGTTGTT